TATATCAAAGTTAATTACCATCAGCAAATCAAGCATGTCAAATAAAATGTTAAAAATATTTTGCTTTATACACATAGTAAAAGAAATTTAAAGGATAACATGTTAGTAATACAACTACCCCAAAAATTCATTTTAATTTGGAATCTGTCATCATTCAAGTGGGTTAGGTTTTTCCTTTATTTACAAAGAATGCAAATCACAGCTTAAATAATATTTTTAGGAAAATGTTCAAGATATATAAAAGAAAGAATTTTAGGAACCTATTTGGATTCCACATAATGGATATTCATTTTTTCAGCAGCTCAAAAAAACCCTTTCTCTGCAGGGGACTGGGAAAGGTGGGGGGTCTGGTTCCCAGATGGTTGAGAGGAAGGACTTTTCCTCCCACACAGAAACTGGAAGGGAGGGAGGACCACGTGCTTCCCATAGCAGCACAGACTTGCGACCTGAGCCTGGAGAATCAGGTGGTCCTATAGGGAACTTGAAGGTTAAGCGAGTGACACAAAGCTCAGGGTCAGTTTATCAACATTGTGAGGTGGCTGTGGCATTTAAGAAACCAGTGTTGCTGCAGGGAATGTTGTGGGGGGGAGGGCGGGTATCACTGGCAGTTCCCGAGAAGGACATTTGAGGCCCCTACTTCCATTGTTTCATGCCATGGTAAAGCAGGCCTGCCTCTCTGCCTTCTCAGTTCTCTCAGACATCCATTGGTTTCACTAAACTGCTTTTCATCTGAAGTTGGCTTGTACTGTTTCTACTCAAGAGTGCTGAATAGCACACTTTAATTACAAATGACTTTTATCCATTCTGATTAAATCTTTGAATATTTTAAAATACTGAGCAGAAGAATTAAGCTTTACTTTTAAAATATTTTATTTAAACTTCCCACTGATTCAGTCTGTACTCTAACATTGTCACTTTTAATTCCTGTGAGGAGTATCATAGAAGCAGTTGCTGCATGCACATGAGTCTCAGTTCCTCAGATTACTTGAGGAAATTATGAGTGACTTGTCATATTCAGGTCTTGACTTACATGGAAAGTTCTTGTATCCATTCAACAGTGCCTTCCAACACCACCCCTTCTCTGCCATCTGAAAATTTACTCAGTTTACGTACAATTTATAGTAAAACAGCCTTCTTTAAAACTGGATTGTGTGTGTGTATGTGTGTGTGTGTGTGTGTGTGTGTGTGTGTTTTAAGTATCCTGCCAAGCACGTGTATCAATCCAATTTCAAGTTAGTATCAGGTACAAAAAAATACCAGCTTCAGTCAGCTATATCGACTGAGCAACATCAGATTTTGTTATCAATGTTATTAATATTGGTAACTTTAACAAATCAACCAATCAATTTTGCATGATCTTGAAGAGGACTACTTTTGCCCAAGGTGTTGGCACTGGCATACCAGAGCCTCATTTCCTTTTCCTCAGTATGTCTCACACTTTGGGACTAGTATAAAAATGTTGAGATCAGTTAAATCTTCCCACCTGCGATGACCTGGGACTAAGATCTGTAGTCAAAAAGTTCTGTGGGTTAATGATTTAAACCCCACTCCTTTCTTCTTCAAACACACTTGTGAAAGATAAAAGAGGAATATTACTGTGGACCTAACAGATAAGATACACAGTGGGTAAGAGGGCAGAAACTATAGGTTGACTTGAAGCCCAAGACTAGAAATTGGCAGAAGAGTCCTGGAAGGTAAAGGAACTAAAATATGCCACTGCACAATGAAGGTCCTGACCTAGACTCGGTGGAGAGCACAGAGCTGAATGTGTGTGTGGGCGGGGGGCGGGGAAGGTGGGGGAGCAGGAAGACAGGGTGGAGGGTAAAGATATCCCTTGCTGGAAGAGATTGAAAAAATTCTTCACCTTCTTCCTTTCATGGAGCAAGGTGCCTAAGACTGCAGGATGGAACAGAGACATGGGTTCTACTTCCTACTGGCTCGGTGACTACATATTCAATATCCTCAAAGTCATGGTAGGCAGAAAGGCTTTGGCCTAGAGGGCTCCTGAAGCCACATCATGGCACAGGCAAAACATCCAAAACAGGAGAAAAGAATGCCGAAAGCAAGAAAAATCAAAACAACAAACTCCCCATTCATGATGACAGATAAAATAAAATCCTAAACCATGGAAGGAAGCCAAATATTAAGGAAACAAATAAACTCAATAACCAGGATAATTCACCCTTATTGAAATGCAAATGAAAAATGACTGTTAAGTGGTATAAGATCAAAGAGTAAAAAGAAAGAATTATATTCATAAAAAAAGAAAAAGAAATTAACCATATGTGAAGAGCTAGATAATCCTAAAAAGTCAGATATGTATAAGGAGTGGTTAAAAAATAAAATAGTGGTAAAATTTAGAAATGAAAAAATACAGATGTTAATACAAATATCAGGAGAAAAATTAGTATATAGAATAAAATTTAGACTAGGCTTAGACTAAGAGAGAATTAGTGAATTTGAAAACAATTCTGAAGAAGTCATCCAGAATGCAGCAGAAACTGATAACTGGATGACAACATGAAAAAGAAATAATAAGACATATAAGGTAAAGTGGGACATTTCAATACCTATCTCTTAGAAGTAAAAAAATAAAAAAGGGTATTTAAAGAATAATGAATGGAAATTTTCCATAATTTGTGTAATACATGAGTTCTCACATTGCAAGCATATTGAGTTCTTTGCTGGATAGTAAGAATAAATTTTGTGACTCAGAAACAGAAGTATTAAGCCTTTTACAGTGCCCAATATATAGCAATTTTCAATATTTTTTATCACTAGAATTTAGAGCACCAGGCTTTCAATACAAAGAAAATGTCTCCCCCCAGAACAGATGAAAGTTCTGTTTCTTGTCCTCTGGGACAGTAAAGATAATGTTTGCTCCAGGGATAAGTTTGGACAGATTTGCTAAAGACCCCTTTTAAAGGATTAGTTTCCCAAACTTATGAGGCAAACCCGCTGTGAATACAGTCCCTACTTAGGCCATCAACCCTAGGACTTTTGTGGCAAGGACAACAAACATGACCATAAAAGTCATACTGCTGACTTAACTATGAGTAATAAAGTCCTTTTGTCCATGGACCATGAGTCCTGGGTCTTCTTCCAGCCTTCACAAAACTGGCAAGTTAACTTATTAGGGTAAATCTCACATCTCTCATAGTTCTTGACATTGAACACCCTGTACTATGTTGGTAAACTTCAATTTCTGTTTGATTTGTTTGCTTGTTTTGAGAAGGAAGGGATTATGGAAGACTATGAAACTGTCACACAAAGATAAAAAGGTGGGCATCCATGAGCCCAAGACCGCCTCCATGCCTGCTTCCTTCTTTTTGGCACTCTACTCCACTCACAACTTTCGTTTTTCCTCATTACAGGTATATAGTGAAGTTATAAACTCACATAGGCAAGGATTAATGTCTCCCAAGATTATCCACAATTTTAATGTCATTTACACTTAGTGAATAAAATTTGGGCTTTGGGATCAGGATTTGAATTCTTGCTAATTCATTAGCTTGTACAGCCTCTTACAAGTTACTGAGTCTTTTCAAACCTTAGTTCTAAAAAAAACAAAAACAAGAACAAAACAAACAAAAAACCCCTGACCAGTGTGGCTCAATTGGCTGGGCATCATCCCACAAAGCAAAAGTCACCAGTTTGATTCTCGGTCAGGGCACATGCCTGGGTTGCTTTTCGGTCCCCAGTCAGGGTGTGTACAAGAGGTAACAGACCACAGATGTTTTTCTCCCTCTTTTTCTCTCTCCCTTCCCTTCCTTTCCTTCTCTCTAAAAAAAACAGAAACAAAACTAAAAAACCTCAGTTCTTCTCAGCTGTGAAAATGGGGTATCATAAAAGTATTTCCCTCAGGGTTGTTGTAAAAGTGCATGAAGTAACATAAATAGAGTCCTCATACAATGTCCGGCAAATAGTAAGCATTAATGAAATAGGAATATGTAAAACTGCAACAGGAATTCAAATATAATTGTCTTTTAAATCATGTCCTATTTTCTACCCACTTATTCCAAAACCCTAAATAGTGATATGGTCCTGAGATGAATAATGAGATTCTCAAGAATGAATTTAAATTATAGAAGACTACTCTTAGGCTTAACAGCACCATCTATAATAATGTATCTTAGGGAAATAATAAGGGAATCATGTACACCTCTTTTCATTATGGTGTTACTTACTAGAATAAAAACAACTAATAACAACCTAAATGTCTAATAATAAGGAATTATTTAATCAGTCATTGAATAGTCATGGCAGAGAATGTTGTGCAGGAATTTAAAAATCTGTGGTAGAAGGATATTTAATGATATGGATATTCACTATTTAGTGAAAGAAGGCAGTCTCTAAAACACATAAAATATTACTTCAATTTTCTTTTAAAATGTATTTCTATTCATAAGACTCTAGGTTATAAATTAAAATGTTATACTTGATTGATTTTTATGTTTTCCACTTCTCTCTCTCTTTTCTAACTTTCCTAAAATAAACACATATAGTATTTACAATAAGTAAAAAAGCACAGTCAACATTATAACTACATAAGAGATTATTAAAAATCCAAATAGGAAATATAAAGATATTAAAATTATTTTTTAAGGTAATTCAACCAGGGAAAATGATACCAACAAATACTAGTGTCAAAAAGTCTTTCAAATGTTATGTTCCTTTTTAAACCTCAATCTAAGATATCTTACTTTACAGAGGAGCAGAAAACACATGGAACTATGCATCAATACCAATCACCTATTGAAGTTCATGTTCTTTGTTCGGATGAAGTATTTAAAAAATGTTGCCAGTAATTTTACCAATTTCAGGATGCAACTCAGTATGTGACGATGACTTTTCATATACAGTAAGTGTTCCTTATCTCTAAATCACAACCAGGGAATTTAAATTAGTTCTTTTCTCATCTTAACAACTACTTCATTATAAAACTGTTCACATTTTTAGGTGATCCTTGGGCTTTTGGAATCAAGATATTATTTGATTACCTGGCCTTTTCTGTGCCTCCCATGCATTGATAAATGTCAATGGATTCCATGAGTTGTTTTTGCAACATCACATCTTTGCCCTCAATTTGAGTAATGAATTTATGTTGTAGAAGATCTGACACTGTTGGACGTTTTTCATAATCTTTAGTCAAGCACCTGCACTGGCAAAAAAGAACATGCAATTATTAGATAAGTTAGATAAATTAGGATTCACATTCCTAAAAACTACTCTAACATAGAGAACAATGTTCTTCATAATTGCTCAGCCCACGAAACATCTCAAAAGATGTTAAACTGCAATATGATGAAATGAATGCTTGTGAAAGTGCACACATCTGTGATTATGCTGTAATGCTGCCAACTTCCACCTAAGTACTACTCCTTAGTCCCCCAAAAGCATTATTGCATAGTGATAATTAAACTTGGTCTCCACTTCTAAGTCTCCTTTACAAGTCAGTAGCTAAAAATAAACAACGATGTCATTATAGTTTTGATGCTTATCTAAAATCAAAACACACTTTTCAGATTCCCTTTGTTAATGCTTTTAAAGGCTTCTCAATTGATTACTTCTTTCTGTGTGATAAAACTGCTAACCCATTTGAGAAGGCCAGTGCATCCAGGGGGTTTAAATTCCCTGGCAGTAAATGTATGTGCAGTCACACTTCTTGAGAGGCCTGACCAGAGCAGAGTCACAAGAAAGGGGGCAGGGAGTGAGAGAACCTGAAGTAACATCACAGGAGGAGGATTTGAAGAAATTTAGGATTTTCCATCAGCCATGCCAGGTGTCTTCAAATATTTGGAAGAGGGATTAGACAATACTCAGTGATCACAAGAGAGAAAAAACAACAAACAAACAAACAAACAAACAAACATCCTAAAATGGATTGGTGAAATTAAGAGAGAAACAGGCCCTGGCTGGTTAGCACAGTAGGTTCAAGCATTGTCCCAATACGCCAAGGTTGTGGGTTCGATTTCCAGTCAGGGCACATACAAAAATTAATCAACGAATGCATAAATAAGTGGAACAACAAATCAATCTCTCCCTCTTTCTCTCTTAAATTAGTAAATCAAATTTAAAAAAAAAAGAAGAAACATATTTCATATCAGCATAAGGAAGGTTTCAGGTCAACTTCAACAGGGAGGTTTCCCAAAGATAGGCTGGGCCACATTGAGAAGCATGATTATTTTTATTAATGGTTTTCACTGATTAGACGACCACTCAGTGGTTGTGTCTGAGAAGGATTTACACTCCGAATATAAGTTTGGGCTATATACATTTACAATATATTTCCAAGCCTGAGATTCTGAGGATCTATGTTTATGAGAAAACTGGTCAGAGTTGGGCTGTCATTGGGGATATAGAAAAAGAAAAAAAAAAAAAAGGATCCTATGCCTTGACTTGAGCAGTGCCATTTCTAATTTGTATTGTTAATTCTCCTGAAATGGTAATTAGGCAACTAATTTTATTGGGTTTAAACAAAAAGATATTTCCCAAGTATGCTAAAAATGCTAAGGAATAAGGATGACGATGTCTGCAAATAAAACAAGAGCTCTTAGTTTTCACGTAGTTTAACAGGATGTCAGTGTCTGACATCTGCAGCACTTGTATGTATGTATTGAGTTTAGTCACATATAAAATTATTTTATTCAAGTACAACTTTATCAAATATCTGATGTGTACAGGTATTTTGCTAAGACACTGGAGTTACAGTGACGAGTAAGGCGCGCTCAGTGCCCTGCAGTTGCTTACTGTCTAGTTAGAGAGGAAGACCTCTAAGAAGGTAGCCAAATGAAAGTGGCAATGTTACCAGAGGAAAACAAACAAATACAATGAGACCATACAGAACAGAATACTAACTGCCTGGAGGAAGTCAGTAAATGTTTCTCAGAGGTGAAATTGTGTGAAATATGTCAAAGTCACCTGGTTCCACTTGAGGATCTGCATGGAAGGATCTGCAAACATGGAGTAAAATTATGAATCAAGGGGATCCTTTCAAAGTTACCAATGATGTTTCTAAGAGATTTGTGAAATTCAATTGCAGTTTATTAAATATTCTCTAGTGTATAATACATACTCAGTAATGACTGGTTAAGTGAAAACGAAGGGAAAAAAGGTTATCAATCCTTTTTTGGTTTCTACAACTCTTAAATCTATGCTCCTTGTCTTTGTAAGAATAGCTGATACTCTCAGTAGGAAAACCAGTGATAGTGGTTACGAATGGGTATGACTGGTTCCTCTACTTTTTTTGCCCCTTCTACAATTACTGAGTTTGACACCAAATCTTAATGACCTCTCTACTCCACTTACAGGTGGGGGTCATCCCATACCCTTATTTTTTAAGGTAAACTCATAAAAATTGTAGAAAAAAAAAAGGATGGACTGTAGGAGTGGGAGGGGTAGGCTGGGCAGAGATGGGCAAAGGGGGAAAATTGGGACAACTGTATTAGAATAATTATTTAAAAAAGAAAGTTAGAAACATTCATAATGCCTAAAAATAGAAAGTGGTTTAAGTAAAAAACAGTTTGTGGGACAGATATTTGGAAGTGACTAGAGTCATAACTTCTGGAATTTCTAAGGCACTGCACTTGAGGTAAATATCCATCATATTAAAAATGTTCACTGAATTTCAAATGTATAAGCAATTTATCTATATGATTATGTGATTCACCAACTGCGATACATATTTCCTGTGTTGAAAATTAATGATGAAGATAAACAGAGGGTTAAATAACATACTAAATAGATGGTGAGTAAGCAGGTGGGAGAAGTTGAGGGCGTAGCAGGGAAAAGCAAGTGGACAGAAGAACGTGTTATTGAATGAGGAAAAGTCTGCATAAGCATCACTATCAATAAGTGAATAAACAGGACCCTAAGGTCACTGTTTGAACAACAATGAGATCATTGAACATTCACAAGAAACCACAAATGCTTGTTTTGAAGAAAATAATGGAAACCTCTGGGGATATTTAACAGATAAAAAGTGAGGAAGAGAATCAGAAGGATAAAGGAATTGTTTGATAAAGCACATTTCAAGGTTCGCAGGATGATATTTCTTTGATTTTTGAAGAAAGACTCTCTTGTTACTCACTTGCTAATGAAATCATTGAATTCTGCTGACCATAACTCAGGCTGCCTCAGTTTGGGAGGTGGATTCCTAGAAAAATAAGAATCAAGGTTGGATTGTATACATGGGTTAGTCAGTGCAAAATTAAGGGCAGAACCAGACAGACTAATCCAGTACTGCTCTCAAAGGTCCTGCCAGGTAAAATCAAGCATTACCATCATTTTTTAATTCAAAGGCAGATAATGAGTTATTAATCATTCTTTATAGAAAATGACAGATTTCTTGTTTCTCTGAAAGCATTTAATAGATGACCTAATTTTTCTAACTGGAATTTTTTTTGTTTTCAAGAATCTTCTTGCTTTTACCTGAGAGCCCTAGGGGAAAACATCAATACTTAGCAGAATAGAGACAAGTAATACTAGGGAAAAGATTGTTTCCTTTGAGTCCTGCAGAAGTCTCTGAGGGACATCCAGGGTACACAGAGGTGACCTAACAGGAGGTGCTCAGAAGAATTAGGAAACTGCAGCAGAGAAGGGCATAGGACACGAGGACAATGCCTTCATGATTCTGTTGTTACGGAATATATGGCCGGAAATAAGGTTACAAAAGCAAGGAAAAGAAAACTATAAAGCTCTGCGTGCCACTTAAAAGATTTTGTTATTAATTACTTTTATTTTTAAGTGAACAAATCTTTCCGTCTTTGACATGTTTATGAATACAAAAGACCATCACTTGAAAATGAGGCTGAGCTAACTCTGTAATCAAGCAACATTGATCAGCCATGGTAGTTAAATTTGCTGAAGTACTGCTTTATGTTAATTCTAACAGCTCTTTGTTTTCATTAGTGGAATGGAAACATTTTGTCTTCAGTCCTGCATTACTCTTAAATGGCTTATAATGAAATTAATGTACAGTTTGTACAGGCTCATTAAAGAAAAGTGCAGCTACTCATCTACCCTAGGTCACCCCTAAAGCTCATTTTACAATCCTTTGTTTTCATTAGTGGAATGGAAACATTTTGTCTTCAGTCCTGCATTACTCTTAAATGGCTTATAATGAAATTAATGTACAGTTTGTACAGGCTCATTAAAGAAAAGTGCAGCTACTCATCTACCCTAGGTCACCCCTAAAGCTCATTTTACAATCCTTAGGACTATTTGAAGATTGCTGATTTGCACATTAAAAGAAGTAACTCTTCCCTTCCCTTGACAATCTTGCTTTGTTTCTTGTTTTCCTGAAATTTCCTTTGTAAGAGATATATTGGCTTCCTCTGAGGATAACAAAGTTTTGATGATTTTAGAGCACTCAGAACTGGGTAGCTTTTCAGATCCCTTTTTTATATTTGCTTCTACAGTCAATAGGAATTCTTAGAATTCCATTTTACAGATATACTGGTGGTAAAGAAGTAAGAAATAACTAAGATGATGTAGTTTCCAGAAGTGCCTTGCCCATAGGTACAACATATGTCAACGGCGTCATTACTCCTCCATTCAGCGTCGTCACCAAAAGTAATAGCATCGGGCTAACTGTAGTCAGTTAAACCATTATTAAAAAGGTTCAGGAAGCTCAGTGCTTCATTATACATACTGAATGATAGCAGGAGTTGGGAAATACAGATTTTTTTTTCTGTTTTCCTCAAATTTAATGAAATGTCTTAGACGTGGTAAAGAGCAGGTTTTCTGTTCTTATTTGTAATCTTGTTTCCCCACTTACCAAATAAGCAGTACATTTTACAAACGGTAAGACCTAAAAGATACATTGGCATTGTTGTGTTGTAATTCAGAACCTATAGGTAGGACAGGAAATTCAAAAGTAGAATTACAAACAAAGTCAAATGCTCTGGTCTTATACTAATTTAATTACATGCTAAATACTCCAAATGGACCCATTTGGAAATGAATATAAAATACTGGCATTAATTCTTAGGACTAGAAAACTACCCCCAGGGCTTTGTACATATGACTATGTTCTATAGGCATTGGAACCATGGGGTTTAATAGAGAATGTGGCAACAAGCCAAGACATACCACCGGCCACTGTGCCCTGGACCCCTGTCACCACAGGCCCTCTTTGTGCATTCCATTAAAATTAAGACACTGGGCAAAATCCTTAAGAGAGTCTTCAGAAGATAACACAACTATAATAAAAATAGGAAGTCTTTTCATGTCAGTTTTCTGAACTGTCTGGGAGCTAACCAAAACATATAAAATAGTAATTGAAAAAGAGGGAAAAGTTTGTCAATATACACACTAAAGGGGAGGGGTCTACATAGATAAAGGAATGTGCATTCATGGCTCCGAAGAGATTATTCTTTTAAGTTTACTGTTTTATGTTAATATATTCAAAACATTAGCATGTTTTAAATAATTATTTTATCAATAAATTTTATTTTATAATTTTTATATTTTATTTTAAAGTTCTAAACGAAGAGAAGTCTTAGCAAGCAGTGAAAGTTACTAGACTGACAGTGAAGCAAAGCAAATCAAATCACTGTTGCACCACTTGTGGACCAGGGCGCTGCACTGAGCTGGGAGTGGATAAAGACTGGGAGGGACTGCCGTTTTCTGACAGCAAATCCTTGCAAAAGGAAAAAGATGCTATGCATCAAGAGAAAACTCTTCTACTTAGACCAAGGAAATGAAGCTATTGAACAAATACAGTATATCGGAAGAAGCACAATGATATTCCAGGCCACTCTGCGCCGACTTGCTGATATATAGCTGACTATTTCCATGATAAGCATGATGGGCACTCAGAGGCTGGAGGGCACTCGGGATGCAGACACTGGACCAAGTGTTAGAATCTGCTCACCTTGGTATTTTGAAGAGTGCGCGCATGGGATGCAGGTCAGCCAGTGGAGGGTCTCCATCCCCTAGTTCAATTGCTGTGATCCCCAGGGACCACGTGTCACATCTGGAATCATACGTGGTATCCAATTGCTGCTCACATGCAATCACCTAGTAGAAAATGAAAAATAAAAGGTGAAGTTTGTGACTTTAACAAACATGTAGCACCCTGCCTGATGTAGCTCATAGTCCACAAGTGTTTGATTCCCAGTCAGTGCACATACCTAGGTTGCAGGTTCAGTCACCAGAGGCAACTATCGATGTTTCTCTCTCACATCGATGTTTCACTCCTTCTCTCTCTCCCTCCCTTCCTCTCTCTCTCTAAAATCAATAAGCATGTCCTCGGGTGAGGATTAAAAAAAACATGTAGCAAGATGTTTAGAACAATGTGTAAATGTTCAAGCTGATGAAGTTTGATAGCTATGAGTAAAGGCAGTAACTTGGGAGAGTAAAAGCTCAAATTGTTATCAGTCATAGTAGTTTCATTCTGAGAACAGAGACTACCTTAGCAAACACAGGTTTGCAAACATAAGGGGAAAAGCTTATGAAAAGAAATATTTTTGAAAATGTCAAACAGAAAGGGCAAAGAAACTGAGCCCCAAATGCAAAGAGATAGGATCAAATGCACAGCTTAAGATTGTGCAATCAGTCATTCCATGAACATCTGATGAGTAAATGAAGTCATACATCTTGGTGAGATAAAGAACATATCTTTAGTGAATTAAAAATGAAGGCGGTAAAGAAAAATAAACTTGAGAGCCACTAAATGGCCTTAATCTTTCCTGGCAACTAGAAGGCAAGGGTACCCAAGGGAGGAATGAGACAATTTGAAGGAATGCAATAGGTTTATGCCATTAATAAAAGAAAAATATAATGAATAAGAATAAATATTGTTAAAAATGTATCAACACTTATCTGGGAGCACACTAAAGTGTAAAACTACAACAAGGTTTTTAAAAATTTCACTAATCAAAGGATATAATTGAAAAAATGTTTCTTTTTGCAATATTATAAGATAGTATTACATGGAAGAATTACTAAAAAATTACTTCAGAATTTATTTCTAAATATGCAAATATAAATACAGATGGACTGCAATTAATAATAATAACATCAATGATCACAAAAAGAAAATTGAACTTTACACTTTTTAAAAACTATGTTTTACACTTATAATTTTTTTAAATTTTGTGAATTCCAACCCATAAGATAAATAAAGACATGATTTGGGGATGATGGCAGGTAAGAGTTTTATCATTTAACTGTAGAACTATGAAATGATACATGAATCAAAAGAACTACAAGGCCCTGTCTGGAACAACAGTCCGTCTTTCTGGCCCCACTTAATTTCAGGCCTAACACATTAAAATATCCCTGTGTTGGCACACTGGAGTTTACTTGGCCACATTTACATACATGCCATCCATATGAAGGAAGGGTGATTCCTTCATAAATATGTCTTTATTCATAACTGATACTAATGGCAAGTACAGAAACAGGTTAAATATAAACATATGGATATGATTAAAAACTAAAAGGAATGCAACAATAAATGTAACATGTAGGACAAGAGTTACTCCAGGAAGGATGCAAGAAAGTGGGATAGAGGAAGAACATAGAAGCAAATGTAGGTTCTTGGGTTGGGTAGTGAATTCATGGGCAAATAGACAAGGGACCATAAACCAATCCAATTTTTAGCTCCTGAAGGCCAATAATAAATACATAAATAAATTATATCTGTGCGTGTGTGTGTGTGTGCATGTCCTTCAATCTATCTCTCTCTCTATCTATCTATTCTATGAGAGACAGAGAGAGAATATTTACCTCCATAAGTTAAGAGTCACTATGAGGATGGGGACATCATATTACTCAATACTTCCCAACTCTTCCTATGAATATAATTTTAAGATCACAGTGGAGTGAATTGCTAAAATGAGAGCATAGCCTGAAGTACTGGGAGCAAGCACAAGAGTCCCAAGTTTTGTATTAAAAATTCATGTGACAATATAAAATGGAATATTACTCAGCCATAAAAAGAATGAAATCTTAACATGTGTGACAACACGGATGCATCTAGTGGGTATTACACTAAGTGAAATATGTCAGTCAGAGAAAGACAAATACCATATGATTTCACTTAATATGGAATGTAAAGAATAAAATAAACAAACAAGCAAAATAGAAACAGACTCATAGATACAGAGAACAGAGAAAGTTGCCAGAGGGGAGGGGGATTAGGGGACTGGGTGAAAAAAGAAGGAATTGGGAGGTACAGATTGATAAGTTACAGACTCACAAGGATGTAAAGTACAACATAGAGAATATAGTCAATAATATTGTAATAAATATGTATGTTGCCAGGTGGGCACTGAAAATATTGGGGGGAACACTTTGTAAAGTATATGATTATCTAACCCCTGAGCTATACCTGAAACTAATACAAAATAATATTGAGTGTAAACTGTACATGAAAAATAAAATGTCAAAAATACAAAAATTTCGTTTGACAAATATTCATGTAAGTTATTGCTCATAATAGCCAAAAAGTGGAAATAACTCAAAGGTGCATCACCTGGTAATTGATAGACAAAATGTGGTATGTGTATGTATACAAAGGAATATCATTTCACCCATTAAAAGAGTGAAATTTTGATATATGCTACGACATGGATGAACATTGAGAGAAAGAAGCCAGACACAAAGGCCACATATTGTATGATTCCACTTATAGGATATGTACTGAATAGGCAAATCTATAGACAGAAAACAGATTGGCAGTTGCCTAGTTTAGAGGAGTTTGGGAGGGGATGGGAAGTGACTGTAAATGAATATGGGATTCCTTTTAGGGGAAATAAAATGTTCTGAAATTAAATTGTGATGATGGTTGTACAACCCTGTATATATATACATATATACTAAAAATAATTAAATTATACATGTTAAATGAATGGTATGTAAATTATATCTCAATAAAGCTGTTAAAAATAAAACTACATTCATATGAATTTTTCATTCTGTTGTACGTGTTTGCCTGCCTCACCATAAAAGTGTTTTTTGCCCAATCCTTATTTTTTTTCCAAGTATTGTTATTTTATGGCTTGACACAAGTGGTCCAGGACTATCTCCCCATAGGCTTAGGTGAATTTATTCCCTAATTTGCCAGAGACATTCTTGGTTTATGCTTGCTTTCTTAAAGTCATTAGAAATACCATTTCCTTTCACTCTCCAAAGTGTCCTGGCTTAAACAATATATCATGTAGTCACCAACCACAGTCACTATTTCCTGTGTTGCCTTCATCCTGACATACATGTACCCCAGTTTGGGAAGGATGGCTTTATGTAACCAACAAATGCTACCTTTAATCTAGAATTTAATTTAAAAATGTCAAATCAAGAATTCATGTCCAACTGATAATTGATTTGAACAAGTCTGCCTGTCTAGTAACTGCACATTAAGAAGTGTAAATTTTAATTATTAGCTCATTTAATACTTTGGTAATTAAATTTTAGATAGATCAAAATATTTACTTTTACTCATAGAGTGATTCCAAAATCTATTAATTAAAATCATTTTTACTAAATGGCAAATTTAAACATAATAATGGCTTAGTTACTGTAAATTAACATATAAAACTAGATGATCAATTATTGTTAATTATATAATAATAGAATGATTATCTCTTATAGTATTTCTTATATCTAATATTATTAATAGATGTGAATAAGATGCAATGTTTGGTTTATAGCTATATGCTATATTTTATTAATTTCTCAGTTTAAATGTTTTTCATAAGATTTTAAAACTAGCAATATATCAGGATAAGCTATAAAATCTTATTCTACTTTACTTTTGTTTCTATGACTATACTCTTTATTTTTATTCTAAGATGTAGTCCCTGTTAAAAGTTTTTAAATCCACTGGAGTTTTTAAAAGTTTCTTAAGATAATTTATCCTTTCTGCATATTTTATTGCTACATTAACAATATTTTTGCAAGTAATAATTAAATTACTATTTAACAGTATGGCAGGATTAAATCCTCAAATTTAATTATAAGATATTGCAATATTAATGTGGTATTTGAACTCCTTTTCCTCCCTTCTCCCCTCAGAAAATTGTAGGTAAATAGTAGAGGAAAGGTTGCAAAGAGAGTTTTTAAAAATAAGCATTCTTTTCTGATAAACATAATTAAAAACACTAAAGGTGTTAACAGTGATTGTGGAGAGAAGATGTGACTCTAGAACACTCTTCTCCTCAACTATTTTGGCAGTTTCTCTACATCCCAACAGCAACAATGGAAAAAATCTACTAAAGCTGAACACAGTTCCCAAGCAGTGACTCACTATGGAAATCTGTTATATATGTTAACAGACCTGAATCTGATCTTAAACAAAGGCTAATTTTCATATATTTCTAAAATAATTTAAAACTGGAATCTAAATATCATTTATATGAATACATGCTAAGCAATTAAAATGAAAACAAATTTAATGAAAAATTAAGGCTGCAAGCCGTTTCTCCTTAGCTCCTTTGATTCATTCACTCATTCATTCATTCATTCATTCATTCATTCATTCATTCAATGCTTCATTTGCTAATTTATTCATTCGCTGCTGATTTACTGAGCACCTCCCAAGTTCCTCCTCAGGCATGCAAAAACCTCACATAAAAACACCACTGACAGTTTCTTCTATTCTAGTAATATTCTAAAATACATATGGAGATAGATTACTCATTAAAAGGAAAGTCAGAGAGGATCAATTATTACATTTGTCTCCCTAAAATTTTGTCTGACCTCAGGAGCCATCCAAAACGGTGTTCCTACGGAAGTATTCCGACGGTGCCAGGTGCTGGTCAGCTGTGCAGACACACCTGGAAGGAAGAGGCAAGACTTCTTGCATTAATTTCTCATGTAAAGAGATTCCCATTGCAATAAGCTTCCTTACAAACAAATATTAAAATTCTGTTCCCTTAAGCTGCCACTGGACTTGAACTTCACATTAAAGGATCCTAAGTCAGGATTTTTGCATAGCCAAAATACAGACTGGTCCTCCTGTTTTCTATTTCCAAACCTGTTTCCAAACCGTTGCATCCTTTAAAGCCTCATTTCAAGTTTTAGGTCCCCCATGCTGACCTTTAATCTGTTTCATCATACTAACCTCTGTTTCTTTTTACCTTCTACATTTTTAACGATTTGTCTGTATTACATATTTCAGCATGTATTGTTACTTGAATGGTTTGCTTCCTAACTCCCCTCTCTCTGCTCACTATCAAATTCTGGTGAATCTGAGAATATTTGTGGTGGTATGCACATGGTGGGTGACTGGAAGAGTCAAATTAACAACATCCATTTAAAGTAACATCATTAATAGAATCCATTATTTTCCTTTAGAGAGAATATAGACCAAAGGACTACAATGAATAGCCAAGTATTTAAATCATGCCATCCCATTCATTCCATCTGGTTAGACATAATCCTAACTGACCGTCCAGAAAATTAGGAGGAAAGTCTCTTGTCTTGCATTTTACACTCCTGCTCTTCACATGGGGGCCTGGTTACTTCCCTCTGGTGCTTCAGTGCTGCTTCCCTTGACCTTCTCTGGACTTGATGGGTTATAACCAAATCATGGGCTTTCATTCCCTGATTGCCCTGTTTTGAAAAGTACCTCCCGGGTGTCACATTTGTTTTAGGCTCTGGATGTTTATCTGACAAGCCAAGTAGAACAAGGCACTAATAGAAATTTAAAATTGGATATATTTGATTCCTCTAAGGTGGCATTTGACATTTATCATGAAATTCAACCAAATGAGCATTTTACCAGTGGAAATATACTTGAGCAGAGGGGCAGGTGCTAGTATGTTTTGGTTCTACATTTATTCCATCCCTTAAGGACCAACTCCATCTAAATGTAAATCTTGTCCTAAACAGACTCTTTATTTATGTCCTTCAAATTTTGCCTTTAAAGAAGTTTATTTACAAAAAAAAAAAACTTCACTAAAACTTTTTTTTTCAAATTCAAAGGAGATTTTCTAATTTGTGCTTGAAGATTCTCCTTTAAATATTTTCTAACAGACTATGTGATGACAAGAAATCAATATTTAATATCACATTTCTCCAAAAGACATCTTCTACTTTACTTCTACTTCTACTCCAGGTCTTCCACCTTTCAGAAAAATAAAATTAAATCTGAACATTTTATCTTGTTTTTTTCTGTTAACTAGAGGCAGAAATGATTAAGCATGAATTTCACAGTAGTATTAGTATATAGTAATTTATTTATGTGAGTGGGAAAATATACAAATTGTAAAGGCAATTTAATTTAAAATGGATTCTAAATTTGTTAAAATTTAAGGGTTTCTAAATATTTATGAAAAAATTTTAAATTACATTTGACCCTTGGTGGACATTTTTGTTTCAATTTCATAAAGAAAATTTAAGAATTCAAATGTCAAGTTACTGAACTTCAATTTCCATTCAAGTTACTGAATGGAAAAGGAAAGGAAAAAACTAAAATGAAGTAAAAAATCAGAAGTATTGCTTCTGGCAGGAAAGAGACATTTTAGATTAATCATGTGTGATATATTTTTTTCTCTTTCTGGATTTGAAAATTATGTCATAATTGGCTTCTTTCAGTAAGTATTCATGTCTTGGCATCTGAATTTATAGACATTGACAGCAGGAAATATTTATGAAAGGATGCTGAGAAAAGGTTTTTAGGGGTGGGGCATATGACTCGAGGTAGACCATTCAGTCTCTCTCCCTTAGAAAAGTGAATTTTGAGTGGAGACACTGAGGGAGTGAGATAGCTAGAGCTGAGTCCACCAATGGCAAGGCCTAAGGATTAGTAGAGGTGGTACTGCACCTGAGGTCCAAGACTGCCATCGTTCTTTTCTTAGGAGGCTGGATGATCCAGCTTCTCCCTTGACTTTGTAAGTCAGCAGCGTTGTTTTCAGTTCTTGCCTCAGATGGTCAGTGAGTTTCTATTCCTTACAACCAAGAAACCCTAACTAATACAAGACCCTAATGATTTTACACATGAAGGAGCAAATGTTTGGCCTCCAAACCCTTTAATCACACATCCCAAACAATAAAAAACTTTTGAGCAAGTACACTGTACATAGATATAGATAAAGATAGTCTACTGTCTAAATATCTACTTGTACATTAATATAGACATTATGAAATATAAAATGAAGGTAATTTTAAAGGATGAGATTAAAATAACTGTAATAGAGGTATAAGTATTTCTTTCTGCATGCCAATGATATTTTGCGAACACCCTAACACTCCCTTCAAAGTCCACTGTTCTAAGGAGTGCTGGGGTAATGAATTACAATGCTCCTAGAGTCTCATATATGTGTCTGTTGAGATCCTACAGAAAGAATGTTTTATACCTGGTTCCTGTAAACTGCATGGAAACAAGAAAAATTCAGCCCTGATTATAAAGAAAGTAAAACAAAAAGTATCAAAATAAGTTCAGAAGAAAAAATACAACTATGTAGAATGAGAAATTGGTGAGTCAGAGAATAGTGGATGATTATCACATTAGAAACAGGACACACACTCAACTATGAAAGTGACAGGGGAGTTGTTTACCAAATCTCATGTTTGTTGACTGTTTCTACAATGACTGTTAAACCTCTAGACCATTTACTGACACAACCAAACAGCTTCGAAGCTAAAAAGCAACTTAATGGTTCTAAAGTTCATTTCAGATTAGTAAACTTTAGCTGGAGAGAAAAATGAGTTTCCTGAGGACAAATGGCATTTTTACTCAATATAAATTCTCACAAGGAAAGTAGTTAAGGAGGTTGGAAAATATAAAATTCTATTAAAAAATGATTGACACAAATGACTTTAAAAGGCAACAGGAATTCAAATGATAAGTTCAGGAGCCCTAGGATGTCAGATTAGCAAAATCATCTTGTCCAGAGAGGAACTAATGGAATAAGTCACCAAAGTAAACAGTTATATAAGCATCTCAAGGGAGAAAAATGGCAAAGGGTGGAAAATTCCAGGCAGCAAGTTGGGATAATGAAAGGTTATTGAAAGAACAGGAGGCCAAAAAGAGATCAGAACTGAACAGAAAACAGACTAGTAGAGAGGATAATAATCCATTAAAAGTCAAAAGCATAGAAACATGAAGGAAGTTTATGTTAATGATTCTTTAGCCCTTTGCTTGATTATACTGCTGGGGAATTTAATGCTATTTTAGGCCCCTTCAATAAGGATTCCAGGGCTGCTGATGGCTGCACAGCAAATCTGTTCTGTATTGCACTAGTCCCATTTCTAGGAAGAAAAATGTACAGGCTTCATACCTGAGGTCAAAGGGTCTCTTAGGGTCTTAGCAAGTCGAACAAACATCATATGTGTGGTTTCCAACATGGTTCAAACATACCAGAAAATTTCAGGAAACTTGATTTTCTATAACCATACAGTAAAACCCTTGCCATCTCCAGATACCAAAGGGAAGACCATGGGATTTTTTATTTGTTTTGTTAAAAACAAAATACTGCAGGAATAAGAACTGAAATTATAAAAATATGGAACTATTTCAACAAGAGGGGCCATAAAATGTATGGCACCATCCAATATCTTCATTTTGGTAATGAGGTTAAGACACAGCAATAATTAATCTTATGAGTCAAGTTGGCTGAGCCATGGGACCCAGATGTTTGGTGAAACATTATTCTGGCTGTTTCTGTGAAGGTGTTTTTGAATAAGGTTAACATTTAAATCAGTAGATTTTGAGTGAAGCAGATTATTCTGCATAATGTGGGTGAGGCTCATTCAATAAGTGAAAGGCCTTAACAGAGCAAAGACTGACCTCCACTGCAAGTTCTAACAGCAGATACCATTTGGACTTACTGCACCTCTTCTTTGGGTCTTCAGCTGCCAGCCTACCATCAGATTTTGGAGTTGCCAAGACTCCATATGTATATGAGAGAGAGAGAGAGAGAGAGAGAGAGAGAGAGAGTTTGTGTGTGTGTGTGTGTGTGTGTGTGTGTGTGTGTGTGTGTGTGTGTGTGTGTCTTCTGTCTCTCTGGAGAACCCTAGTACAGATTTTGGTACTGAGAGTCGTTGTAGAGGAACAGCATCTTAAAAATGAGCTTTCTGAGTTGGTTCTGGTGCTTCTGCAATTGCTTTTCCAATCTCATTAGATTCAAAGACACTAATGGCTCTGTTTCCAGTAGTAAAGAACACTGATAGTCCATGGGCATAATGTGCAAAATACTGGCCTAGAGATATGGAAAATACTGTCATTGGATACTTGCAGTCAAACACTTATAAGAGGTACAGTTCAGGGTGACCATCTATATGATCTCTTTAAACATTTTTGTCAAACTATTAAGTATAATGAGATTGGCTGGTTGCTTCTAATATAACTGGTCAAAGTGAGGACAGAAAAGGATGAGCTTGGAAATTCAAACTTCCAGCTCAAGTGCTGCATAAAGGACCTGAAAGCTTCTTTGTCTGCCCTCAAAAAAACCTTTCTCTCCTGTAGCTGAAGAGATTGCTGAAAACCAAACCCGAATCTCATCTTGCAAGTGGCTGAATTGCAAATTAATTTCCCAACCTCACAGGGTGTCTACCGTTAAAGTGAGGGCATTGATTGAAAAGGAGTGAGATCCTGAAAATTGGAATGTGGACTTGTTGAAGTTGGGGACATTGAACTTCTAAATTATGATGAGTCTTCTTTGTTGGTACAATTAACCTTTCTAACCCCATTGAAGGATATCAACCTTGAGTTGCCCGAGGAGACTGTAATGGCCTCCTCTGATGTACGAGTAGTTGCCTTATAAGACACTACTTACTCTCTTCCAGGACCCACCCTAACTGCCTCTCTGTACTTCTAAACCTATAATTAGAC